TATTATGACGTCATCAAAAGGCGCAGGCCCCCGAGTCAATCTGGCAACACGAGTCAATCTGGTACCTACACCGGCAGGGCAACAAGGGTGACCCCAGTGCCTGATTAATATAACATTTCTGATGTCCATAACATCACACACGCATAAAGAAAAAATATCACCAACTACCCGCCCGCACTGAAAAAATATCCGCCCGACCCGTTTATTTTTATTTATGTATTTTTCACCCGCAAAAGAGCATTTTAGCGGGTGACCCGTCGGGGACCCGCGGGTACCCGACCCGTTGCAGGACTCTACTTCCAGCGGCCCTGGCTGATCACTGATTATTACTCATCATCCGTGTTTTTCACACTGATTTGTGATCCATATAAACTAGTTTTACACTGACTCTTGGTGTTGATATTATACATGCCACCCTATAAATCAATACATTAATTCCTCCTTTTTTTAGGGAGTTATGGAGACCTAAAGGCTGATTCCTCCCTGATTGATGGGCAATCATTAATATTGATGATATTTTATTAAAAATCAAGCTTCAGGCCATTGTGACTCCAACAGTGAGTCGTTTCCTTTAACAGAGGTATATCCGCGCTGTCTTTTTGTATGATGTTTAGTGCCCTGATAAAGTTGAAACCATGATTCTCCTTTTGTTCACTATTTCTGTTAAAACCTCCAGTAAGGAAACTTCTTTGAATCTGTTCTCCATTTAATCATTTTGAGAGTTATGGTTCCTGGTATTAGAATATTTTCATCACCATTGTCTGAGCTTGCATATATGTTTGCATTGAACAATGAAAGTTATCTATCTGAACAAAGCTCAGCTCTATAAACCGAATAGTTTAATCGATTTTGATGGGTTAAATATCTCCTGTCATAAACCTCTTGAAGTCCAGATATTTCTCTTGGTCGATTTAGCTCTTATCTCTCTGTAGCGTTCCTGCATCGCTCAGTCGCTGTAAAATCAGGTGATTTATGAGTTACTAAAGACTGGTGCATTATCAGCAGGACAAGCACAACAGGCCACATGACCACACCTCTGATTATCCCAGAACCAACTGGTCCAGCTCATTGAGGCAGATATGTCATTTCCTCATGGTTGAAGCAATATAAAAAGCCATAGATTAAAAAAAGTTNTTTATTAAAGGTGCTGCAGGAGATCTTGGAAAAACGGTTCCATCAAGCTATATTTTTGAACATACACAACCATGCCTCTCCCTCCAAACCACGCCTTCAAAACACATGAGGGGCGCATGCTGTCTGCAGCGCGTCTACAGCAGCAGGAACATCGCTGATGATGCAGAGCGCTATGATCACTCCTCCTCCTCAGTTTATTAACTCTGAAGTTTACTTAAAAAGCCAAAATCTGCTGGTAAAACATGTTCGCTTTTATTGTCCTGGTGCCTGCAGTTTGGTAACCTGACAACAGCCAGATGCATGTCTCGCTCCGCCTAGCTCCTCTCACATACATCTGGGACACCGCTCATTGAAAGTGATTTCCTTAACCGAATTTATGGTCTGGCCAATCAGGACGCAGGGCGGGTGTGTCCTGCATGTGATGTAGTGGAGAAGCGAGTTCTGTAAGTCGTTCGTCTATACTTTTTTGGTTGACTTCTTTTTTTAAAATAAGTCTGCTGTGCACAATTTTGCTTTTTATCCGCACATTTTCATGGCACAAACGACATTGATCATTTACCGACATTGATCATTTACCGACATTGCGCTGATTCCACTGTTGCTATATCCAAGATGTCGGCTGTTCTGTTTTGTTTTTTCCTGCGTAGCTCTCACAGCGTCACGGGTTAGCTTCGGTGTGAGTGGTTGAAATGGCACGTCGATAAAGATGACAGACAAGTGGCTTATCCAATCATATGCAAGGAGTTTTGATAAGGCGGGTTTCCCAGATGTATGTGAGTAGAGCTAGGTTGAGCGAGACATGCATCTGGCTGTTGTCAGGTTAGGAGTTTGGATTATATATATGAAAAACGCCTTCCAGCCGCCAGAGGCTGCTATTGAATGGGATTCCTAGTGACTGTGCACCGCCGGTATACGGTGATCTGAGCAGCTCTGACAGAAATAATATTTGAATCTGGTCACCCTGGCAAAGATGCTTCTGCCGTTCATCAGAACTAAACTTGTACAAGCATCAAAAATTAAGCAGCCCACATGTTTTTGTTGCTCTTTCTGCTTTAGGTGTGAACGTAGCATAACAGTGGCTAGCTTCCAGCCATGGCGTCCTGCACAAGCATTAAGGGTTTGATTCGTTCATGTTTCAGGCAGAGATGGGGACTCGAGTTTGTGACTCGTACTCGAGTCGCACTTAAAGGAATAGTACACCCAAAACATGATTAAAATGAAGGCTAATCATGTTTTGGGTGTACTATTCCTTTAATCTCCTGTTTGTTCGTCATTTAAAGGAAGGTGAAAGGAGATACCAAGAAGCTGTAGCCAGGAAGAAAATCAGGCTGGACAGGTGAGTGTTTGATCTCTACATGGAGCTCTGCATGTGTGACATTTATTCATAAACAGCTGGATTATGTTTTTCTTTTTAAACTTGAATCAACGATGTGGAACTTTTAGCCACTAGGTGCACTAGATCTGTGGACTTCCGGGTTTAGCATCTCTGAAAGCAACTGGTAACCAAAATCACCCAGTATCCCTCTGTCTTTTCTGATAGCAGAAGTTATGGGTTTCTTTGTAAATTTTAATAAAAAATTATTACATTTGAAAAACAATAGTTATAAAAAAAAATTGAGAAATGTAAACAGTTTGAAAACCTACAAAGGTACTCCTAACACCTGTATTTATTAACACATGTTTGAAATTGTATTTTATAATTGCATGTTTTTGAATTTTACAAAAAGTTATTGGCTTGCAACAGTAATGGGAAAAAATTCCCTCCATAGATTTTTATCCTTTTCAGCTCTTTGATAATTAAAACACATCCATCAGTCGACTAAAATCATATTGTTAGCATTTTTTTATCACTATATCATGTTGGAAAAATGGCCTTAATGTTTTCCTTTTTTTGTGTTTCAGGAAGTACATCGTCTCTCGCAAACAAAATGAGGTTCCTCTGTCTGTCCCCTGGGATCCCAGGAACCAGGTGAGTTTTAGTCGCACACAAAAAAAAACAGACAAGCTTTTTCTCGCAGGGCAATAATGACACATAGTTCATGTTACGTCACGCATAAAGACTGAACTTTGACATATTTAGAAAAAACTTTGTTTACAGAAACCAACAAGAGGGTT